TGTTGTTGTTGTTATGTGCTGTCGAGTCGGATCCGACTCATAGCGACCCCTCCTTGGGTTTCCGAGGCGGTGTCACTACAGAAGTAGAAAGGCTGGTTAGCAGTCAAGTACCTTAGCTACTAAGCTACCAGAGCTATTTTAAAAGCCTCCTATGCGTGGGAGAGCTGGACAATGAATAAGGAAGACTGCAGAAGAATCGATTCATTTGAATGGTGGTCTTGGTGAAGAATATGGAATGTCCTATGGCCTACCAGAAGAACGAACAAATCTGTCTCAGAGGATGTACAGCTGGGAATGCTCCTTAGAAGCTAGAATGGCCAGATTTCATCTCTCATACTTTGGTCATATTATCAGAGGGAACCAATCTCTGGAGAAGGATATCATGCTGGGTAGAGAGACAGTGCAAAAGGGGAGGAGGCTCAACAAGATGGATTCCCACAGTGGCTGCAGTGATAGGCTCAAGCATAGCGAGGACTGGGAGAACAGCACAGGGCCAGGCAGTGTTCTGTTTTCCACAGGGTCACTAGGAGTCAGAACTGATTTGAAGCCATGTAACAATAACAAGAACAATCTTTATAAAATAGTATGTAATCTCAAATTGGGTGTGAAAGTTTGCACACTCTCACACTCTATCTCTAGTCTAGTTTAGATTTGGAATGGGTTTTATATATTGTCAATAAAATACCCAATTCTGTGAAACCTAGCTTGATTTTTTAAAATCATTCAGGTGTTACATACCTTTATTTATAGGATCTAAAGATTCTAATGTCAAATGCGTACTGATTTTAAGTATGAATTTATTATTTTATGTAATTAATATTTGATATGATTAATGTAGTAATTTTTGCAGCAGTTTGGTGGTATAGGAACCAGCTTTCAGGAATCTAAAACTTGGCTCTGCCACTGGATAACTTTGGTTAAAAATACTTAACTTGTATGTACTTGGCTTTCTTCTCTGTAAAGTGGACATACTGATAGTTCCTGTTTATAGGTTTGTTACAAGAATTAAATGAATTAATACATATGTTTCATGTATAATACATAATAATATAATTACAACCCATTGCCGTTGAGTCGGATCCGACTTATAGTGACCCTTGCTTGGGTTTCCGAGGCAGTATCACTATGAAAGTAGATTCTCCAACCTTCCTTTTAAGGAGTGGCTGTTGGATTTGAACTGCCAGCCTTCTGGTTAGCAGTCAGGTGCCTTAGGCACTACGCCACCAGAGCTCCTTAATAATATATTATTATATATAAATAAATGATGTACTATATTCATATATAATATTATATTACACACACACACACACACATTCTCCTGGCACATACAAGCTGTTACCAACCTTAGTTTGTTTTTGGTGTGTTCCTGAAACTGAAAACAAAAGAATATTCCTAAAGTACACTAGAAATAACAGCATTCTGAAAATTTTATGGATACGAGGATACCCATGATTTCTTGGTATTAATTCCCTGAATGAGTGAGGTTTTTCCTATTTGTTTTTTCATTCATTTATTCAACAGGATTTATTTGTAATTTT